TTCTTCTTTGCAATTTCTTTTTATGTTGCTTGTATAAATACAAAAGTTTGTATTTTCCTAGACAGGAGAAAAAACTTTGAGAGTTTTAATTCCTAAAATAGGAGGATATGTTTTATAGTCAGAAGTCAGCAGACTTGATCCATCCTGTGAAATATTTCCATCTAGTCTATAGTTTTGTTTCCTGGAGGAGGCAACACGACTGTTGTAGTAGTGGGCTAGAGATGGAAAACATTCTCCAGGGGAGAGCTGGGCAGAGCAACAGCTGCTGCTTTGTCTAGGTGCATGGGGTACCATTTCCTGCTGCAGCACAGGTAGCCTCTCTCATAGTAGCTGACACTGTCCTTGCCCCTATGTGGCTGTCAGGAGCATCAGAGGAGCTCTCTGTGGTGAGTTAAAGTGGTGCTCTCACTTACTGCTGGGAGCAGGAGAAAAGGATGCTGCTTTGTGACTTGGTGTGTACCATCTGATGTGTGCATTGGGTGAACAAAAATGATAAATTGAATAGATGCTAAGCTGCTGCATGTAAATGGGATGCAGTGGGCACACAACACATCAATGATCCAAACATTTTATCTTTTTAAGGCTGTGAAAATGATCCAGCTGTGATGTTATCTTCTTAACATTGTTTGAAAAGTTGAAGCTGGAAGTTTAGGAGGTGGAGACTCAGCAGTTTTCTTAACACAGTTAATGGAAAAATATTAAGCGAAACAAATGAAGTACTGTGTACAGGTCTTGTGAAAAAGAATTATAGGTAGTGGAGGGCTGGCAAAACTGCAGTGATGTCTACTTTCCAGTACTTGTTCTTTTTCTCTAGCAAGCAGAGCAGCTCTGGATAGTTCTTCCCTCCTTATTCTTGATTGTGTGCTTCCCTGTGTTTCTGTGGCTATGCAGTGGTTTGGATGAGGAAAAACTCATCATTTGATTTATGGATCAGATAATTTTCATTTGAGACTTGCCTCCTGGCACTCACTACAGCAAAGAGTGTGGGTGGTTTCTGTTGGGGACCTCTACTTCCACGGGTACTGCTGATGCAACCAGAACCTGAGTCTCCATAATATGATTAGTTGCTCAAACAGTAATTCAGCAAGCATGATTTGCTCTTCCTTTGTGGCATCTACTTAGTTTTGCTGCTGCATGTGTTTGCAGGTTTGCATGGTAGGAAAGATAATGGGACAGGAGTTTAAAATAAGCATTTGTTTCTTAGGCTATTTGTAAATTAGATAGGTACTCAATCCACCATGCAGCCCTACAAATACACTACTGTCACAACTGAATGGATGTGTTAGGACTAGGAAGGAGAGGCTGTCTATGTCGGCGGTGTTGTTTGACAAATAAGTCTTCTACAATGGCTTTGATTTCTTGAATTTAATATCCATTAAAAAAGTACAGATCAAGCTGATCTAACAGTTGGAAGCATTGCTTCCCCAAGAGTGGAGTGTGCATAGAGGTTATGAGGCCCATTTTTTTCATAGACATGCAGAATTTTATGTATGTGAGTGCTAGATTAAAGATATTTAAAAACGTCAAAGTGGAGAGATATTCCATGGTCTGTTTCATGTTGTTTAATTTAGGTCAGTGCACTGAAAACATACTTAACTAGTAGTTCTTGATCATGCTGACTTCAAGGTTCCTGAGAACTGAAAGGCTCCAAGGACTCTGGTTAATATGCTTAAGTATTCACAGTAATGAGTCTTTGTTTGTTCTAATGAGCATAACAGAATGTGTTTCTCTTGTTTTCAATATTCTGCGTAGAAACAGTATTCCATAGCGAAACTAATAGTTTCAGTATTCCACTAAAACTACTGTAGAGAGGCTATCAGTTTGATTAGGGCCCATTTAGTATTTTTATCTTCCTCTAGAGAACTTTGGTAGGTGTGGATGTTGAAATAACTTTCTGCCTGCCTTACAGTCAGGTATGAAGCATATTGGCTGGTATTTTGGTGTTCTGAAGATTATAGTATTAGATCTTAGTCTGTTGAGGGTTATGTTTGAATTTGGTTTACTGATAACTTGAAATCATGACCTTATTTGCAGAAATCCCGTTAGTTACATACTGAGATAGTTACCAGCGTACTGTTTAGTTGCCTAAATCTATTGCTAGTTTGGAGCATGGCAGCAGTTGTTAAGTGATATAATTTGATGTCCGTAGGGAGTATACATGGGGAGCTTTTTACTTAGGAGCATAAGATACCATCTCTGGAAATCTACTTTCCAAGTTAAAAGTTAGATTCAGTACTAAACACAATCTACCATTTCAAGTTAAATTTTAACTGTCATTATTACATCTCCACAGGGGAACTTTAGATTTGCCATAAGTATTCCAGGCTGTTCTTCTTAGTTGTTGGGTGAGACTCAAGTTTTCGTCTCTTGAAAGTTTTTAGGGTAAACTTGATTGTCTTAAAATACTGTCATTAATTAATTTTTGATGTTGTTGTGAAATGGCTTGACAATAGTAGGTTCAAATAGTAATTTTAGTTTGAAAATCCAACACATTCTGCATCTTTCAGTATACAGGGAGAAAGTTCAAACTTTAATTCTGCTATGCCAAGCATTAGTGGAGTTTGCTTCAGAGAATTTTGGTCTCTATGTACAGGCATGCAGCACAAGTCAGTTGTTCGGGTTATCAGCCAAATACACCAACTAGGCTTCTCAGTCAAAAGGGGTTTTGTGCTAATAACAGTTCCAAATGTGTTTATAGGATTGTTGTTTTATGAAGTTTTTAATGTGTTTGAACGTTGAGCAGCCAGTTCATTGTTGGTTTGAACTGGTGTGAATGGGGGTGACTTGAATTTAGCTATTAGGTTACTTCAGTGGAAGGACTAGCTCTGAACATGTATTCATATTTTTGCTTCTTTAAGCAGTAAAACCGTAGCAGACGCTCATAATCTCTAAAATGATAGATTATTTTCCTTTTCTTCTCAAGCACTTTGGCTGTTAATGAAAAAATACTGTGTTTGCTGGCTTCTACTTGGCTATTCTGGATGTACAGTGTGCTAATGTAAATCAGCAGTTTCTGCTTCTATAAATAGACTCTCAGCAGCTGCAGAGCAAAACTGACAAGCTTCTGGTAATTTTTATTATTGCCATTCAGAAATTGTTTTAATAGCTGTGGAAGTGTCTGGTGGTATGTATGCCTGCTGTAGTGATATTTGCAGAGTGAGCTTAGGTGATGAGTAGAGAGAGGGAAGGAAAGAGTGCATTTGTAAGCCAACAGTGTGAGAGTAGAGGCAAAGAGCTCTGTATTCCTTAATTTCTGAATCCTTAAGATGAGTTTGGAGCTCTTTTATATAAAAGATATATTATTCAGCTAGCTAAAAGTAATGAGTTCTTATGGGGTCTGGGGATAGCATTTATCTAACTCCTTTTTAGCTGGATATAAGGCAGTGTTTACAAGCGTACTCTGTTGAGGAACATCATCATAGTGTGCCCTGAGGAGCTGTCTCCTAAAATTTTTGGTTCCTTCTGCTTCTGGTTTTGTCTGCTGCATGGGAAATAAACAGCCAGGCAAGAATGTTTGCCTTCTGCAGCATTCCTCTCCTCCTACAACATCGTGGGAGCTCTTGTATGGCTGAACAGGAACTGCTGCTATGCTCCTTTCTAGAAGCAGACTAAGAAGCGGTACCAGTGTGGCCTGCAAGAAGAGGGAATGCTAACAGGCTAACCAAGTTACCATTGTTGTTTGTGAACATGGGAGAGGTTTCCAGGAAAGAAGAAATACTTAATATCTTTCATGTGAATGTTTAATTGAAGTCTTGTGTCTGTGTTTGCAAGTGTGGGTTTCCTTGAAAGCTAGCCGTCTTTAGAGTCTTACTACAAAGTCTCAGGAAATATCTTGGGGTGCAAGAATTATTTTCCTGAAATAGAGATGTGCTTCCTTTCAGTGTTTCCCCAAAGCACAGCACATATAATAAAATCCATGGTAGATGTAGGTTGTGCTGAAAGATATGGAATGACTTTATATTCCCACTCTAATAAAAGCACATTTCTTGAATCTTGACACCCAACCTCTGTGAATAATATATAAAGGAAAGGAAATTATGAAGTATAGTACTGTAATGGCAGGTGGGAGTAGAGAAATTTTTGTCAACTGTTGCTTTAGAAACAGCATTATCAGCCTGTGAGGTGGCTAAAGATCACCTAAAAGTGAAATTCAGTGTTTTCCAAAGTGTTAGAAAGTTTCTTAGCATCTAAATGGTATGTTTTACCAGTGCTTTAATCTGTATTCTTTTTACTGAATGAGATCTTAGTGTTGGTAACTATTATTCAAGGAGAAGCACAGAACCCTGACATCTAGATGCTTAGCTTATTATTTTTAATGTAGTTTGAAATGTATCTATATTTTTAAACTTCTAATGGATGTCTTCTGGCTTGATAGCCTAAATATTTTTGGGTGCTCTACTACTAGAAAAATGGATCATACTAATCCTTCATAGAAGAAAATATGGACAAAGTAAAAAAAGCACAAAACCTGTTTAAAAATAAAACATGGACTTGTTCTTTTTAAAAATGATTCCTCTCACATTTTATTCAGCTACCATTTTAAGGGTGCAATTATAGTTCATTCACTATGAACAATTGCTTGTGGCATTAATGAGGTCTAAATAGTTGGGAAGATGAGGAATGTGATGTTTGTCAGATCTTTCCAGGCTGTTATGAGATCTAATGGAAGTACAAAGTTTAGAAGAACTAAAGAATAAGTGTCTCAGAGTGCTTTTAAAGTTTATTGCTAAAATACAGTATAAAAATCTGCACTTTAAGTATTTCCAGAAAAGATGAGCATGTTGTATACTAGCTTAATTCCTTTTATAAAGTATAGAAACTCTTAAAATACAAAGTATCTTTTGTGGAATGAATGCAAAGGAGGAAAAAATGGCAACTTTGATGTAGAATTAGTTTGACTTATATAATTTTTGGTCCTTTAAAGACAGGCAAAAGGAGTTCATTCCAGGACTCTTTGTGTGAGAGACTGTATTAAATAAATCTTTTATTTCTGCTTTTAGTCAGCAGATAAGCAGCGAGCCCTGGAAGAAACCAAAGCCTACACAACTCAGTCATTAGCAAGCGTAGCCTATCTGATCAACACTTTGGCCAACAATGTTCTCCAAATGCTGGATATCCAGGCATCCCAACTTCGACGCATGGAGTCTTCAATCAACCATATTTCACAAGTGAGACTTTTTTCCTGGTTTTTTTTTCTTCTCTTTGTTCTTGAAATTACACAGCAAGTAAAACTCACCTGACATTGTGTGAATGAGAAAAAGAGTCGCATTTAAAACAGAAGGATGCATTTCTTCTCATATTAGTTCTGGGAATGGGTCTCATTATGTGATTGTGTATCTCTGAGGATTTGGGCCACAAAGATGATCAGAGGGCTGGGGCACCTCTTGTACGAGGACAGGATGAGAGGGTTGGGGTTGTTCAGCCTGGAGAAGAGAAGGCTTCTGGGAGACCTTATAGCAGCCTTCCAGTATTAAAGGGGGCTACAGGATTGATGGGGAGGCACTCTTCATGAAGGAATGTAGCGATAGGATGAGGGGTAACAGCTTCAAACTGAAAGAGAGTAGATTTAGATTAGATATTAGGAAGAAATTTTTTACAGTGGGGGTGGTGAGGCACTGGAGCAGGTTGCCCAGGGAAGCTGTGGATGCCCCATTGCTGGAAGTGTTCAAGGTCAGGTTGGATGAGGCTTTGAGCAACCTGGTCTGGTGGGAGGTGTCCCCTCACATAGCAGGGGGGGGGGAACTAGATGATCTTTAAGGTCCCTTCCAACCTGAACCATTCTATGATTTTACATAGGTTAAGAGATTAAATGTATTCTTGGCCAATTTATTGCTTGGAGAGAGGTCCATTCTGTGTAAGTGAAAAGCACAGAAAAATTGCTAATGGAAAATTAGGATATCATGTTAAGGGACAGATTAAGCTTTCTAACTCATATTTGGTGACTTACTGTACTTGGTATTTATTGGCTACAGGCACGTAAAAGAAAGTAATGTGAAATGAATGGTGGAAAACAATACTTGTCGTCTTTTTACTTTTCCTGTTGCAGTAATACTGGTATCAAATGACAGAAGCATAGATGACTCCTGGGTTTTCTTAGTAAAATGTACTTTGTAATGACATGAACAGAAGTCAAAATTATGTTTCAAGTTTGAGTATGGCTGCAGAACTCCTGCCATTGTTTGCAGTTTTTCTGAGCAGCAGTAAACTAAAATACTATTATCAGGAACCCATGTCCCATTAACACACTGATGAGAGAATTTTGACTGCCAGAATGGGCTGAGGATGGGTGATAGATTTATTGGAGGTTTACATGCCAGTGATGGATTAAAAGAGAAATTAAGAGCAATGATAACAGCACTTTCTGTTTTTCTGTTACTAGAGTTGATTTGGATCCTTACTGAATATTTTGTATCTTATTTGACCAGTATATTTTGGCTGCTAGGGTTTCTTGATCTCCAAGTGATAATATAATAAATCAAAATAAAAAATATTGTGGTATTTAGAAAGACATTTGAAAGTAGGAGCTGGGTAAAATAGGAAATAAGCAGATTGAGCTGATCTGTTAACTTGCTGGTGCTGAAAAGGTTTAAGCTGGTAGAGGTTTGAACTGATTGCCTCAGTTATCTCATGCAATGCATCCTCAAAAATAAGGTGAGAAGTTTGATTTCTTCTGCTATGTGCTTCTTGTTAATCCATGGACAATTCAGTTATTTTTTTACTTGGAAAATGTCCCAAATTACTCTGTGTGTGTATGTCTATGTGCTATATATATGCTGTGTATGTGGGTATATGCGTCTCTGTGTGTATATATATTTGTGTGTGTGTACTTGTGTGTTTGTGTATGTGCTTCTTGGCAGGCTAGTGCCAGCTAACAAGTATTTCAACTATTTGAGAGCCTGATGCAATACAGTATATGAATAAAAGTGTTCAGAGTTCACTGGGTTTTACATTTTATAGATGCGGAAAGTTCATTTTGTCATACAGTTTCTGTAAAGTGGCTTTTGGAAAAGGGCCATAGCATTTTAATTTTTTTCCTTCTGAGAAGGTAAGATTTATGCAGATCAAGATGCTAGGTTAGATTGTCTTTGGCATTTATACAGAATGCCTAGTTATTTAAAGTGGAGCACTAAACTACCAGTGCCCAACACCTGATAAAGACGTATCTGCCAAAATTCATGGGTTGCACTTGAACAACCAAAAAAAAGTCTGTTTTGTTCTTTTTTTTTTTTTTTTAATATTGCTATAAAATTGAAAATTAAGGTTTGGTTTGGTTTTTTTTTGAGTCTGCATCATCCATATATATGTAGGATGGTCCCCAAATCTTTGTGGAAGAAATTACATCAGAGGAACCGACAGTATTTGAATTTTGGATTTTACATATACAAAGTGTGTTGATCCAAGGAACTTTATGTTCAGAAATGTTCCGAAATGGCTTCATCCCATGATACCAGTTTTGTAGATGGTTATACTATCTGTCTTAATTTCTGTCATTATTTTTCTATAAAAAATAAATCTATTTTGTCACAGTTTCTGTGTAATAATTTATTTTCAGAAAATTCGATTATACTTCTCCTGGAATGAGCCTAACCTGCAGAAGACGTCCTCAGTCTTTTTTATGTTGGGTGTAAAGTTTAGTCAGCTGTTTCTACTATCACTTAAAATGCCTCATGGTATAGTACTTCATTGCCAAATTATGATTTCAGTCAGTCTGACTTCAAATTATGTCAGTAGTGTAGAACAAAAGATAGGTTGGTAATTACTATCTGCTTGCAGTGCGTTATTGCATTAATGCTTTGGTTAGTAGGTATTGATATTTAAGTTTAGAAAACACTGATGCAAATGATGATATCTGGATGTGTAATGCTGCTTTTAATTCTGATTTGAAATTCCACATATTCTCCAAAGAAGGGAGCAAAATCATTTGGCACTTAGTAATAAAACTTTTTCAAAAAGTGCTTATTTTGTTCAAGTGTAGCTCAAACTGGAAGAGACATGATTTAGAAGATAAAATATTCTAGTTTTCTGTTCATTGATAGAATGCCAATTTAAATTACTTTTTGTGTTTCCTTCTAAATGCCAACTTAATCAAAGAGCTGAAGAGGAACCTGATAATAATTTTTGGGTTTTCAGAATATATATAGGTCCTGAATAAGGAAATCGTTACTATTGAAACTGTTTTTATGCAAGTGATTAAATCCTGTTGGTTTAAAATTCAGGATTACTTCGATTTGATCTGAAAACTGATGAATCTATTCTTATTTGCCTTCTTGAAACTTGTCCAGAACTAGAAGATATGCAGTATTTAATAGTTATCTGAAAATTTGCATCCTAAATACAGATAATCTGTATAAATATTTATATATATTGTTAAAAAATTGTGTTAAAGTTTTCAAGTTAGCAGACACTGTGAAATTCTTTAAAGTAGTCTGACAGATTTTTAGCTTTTAATATTTGTATAATGACATTTTTTCAGGTTTAGTTATAGAATACTCTCGGTTAGCAAGATCATTAAAACTGTTCTCTGCTGCTAATTATATAAGCAAGCATGTTATCACAAAGATGAGTGATAGTGATGAGTTATCTCCTGTAGCACTGCATGATGGAGAAATCTGTTTCATCCTCCTATGGAATCTGACTCCAATGATACTTTCTGTGAGAACAGGTATTGAATAGACTGCAGACTTGAACTTCTCTGTAGTCATCACGTGTTGCTTTGCTGAACTATGGGAACATATGTGAGCTGGTTGGTCTTTGCAGGGAAGTTCACTTAGACCTTCCATTGATAAGTCAGTAAAGGCTTGTAAGCATTTTCAGTTGTCTTATTCTTGCGAGTTATAAGAATAGCCAAAGTCTTTCAAAAATACTAATGCAAGTCTAATTTTCCACAGTATATATTACCGATTTATGGAGCAAGTAGCTTTTCAGCATTTTTGTATCCTGACCTGTTTCTTTGTATATAAATTACATACAGCTTGAGTTGAGGCAATTAATGTCACATTTCTAAGACGTCAGTTAGACAGTTACGCATTTTAAAGCAATAATCCAATTTTCAAGGTAATTTGCAATTAGTTTGTTTAAATTATAACACATTGGATTTCAAAGAAAGCAAAAGCCCAGCAACCCTATATTTAAGCAACGTTTTCTTCTAAGATTTTTTTAAACTGAATTTTAAGAGCCCAGACTAGCAGACGGACAATAAATTTAAATTAGAATGTTTTGAGAAGAGGAACAAATCAAGGCTTCTGGAGACTTTTGTTTCTGAAATTTCAATACAGTTTAGACTTTCAAAGTGCTCTTGTGGTTTAACCCCAGCAGCAATAAGCACCACATAGCTGCTCGCTTACTACCCCCTAGCTGGTTGTGGGGAGAGAATCAGAAGGTTAAAAGTGAGAAAACTTGTGGGTTGAGACAAAACCAGTTTAATAATGGAAATAATAATAATAACAACAATAATAATTTGTAAAGAAAAGGAAAATAACAGAAATAAAACCCAAGAAAGAGAAGTGATACAAATGAAAACAATTTCTCACCACCAATCAACTGATGCCCAGCTGGTCCCTGAGCAGCAGCCCCCCTGCTAGCCTCCCCCCCCAGCTTTATATTGCTGCTGATGATGATGTCATATGATATGGAATATCCCTTTGGTCAGTTGGGGTCAGCTGTCCCAGCTGTTTCCCTTCCCAGCTTCTTGTGCACCTCCAGCCTACTTGCTGGTGGGTTGGTGTGAGAAACAGAAAAGTCCTTGATGCTGTATAAGCACTGCTCAGCAGTAACTAAAACATCCTTGTATTATCAACACTGTTTTCAGCACAAATCCGAAACACAGCCTCATTCTAGCTGCTATTAAGAAAATTAACTCTACTCCAGCCAAAACCAGCACAAGTGCTAACTTAATAATTGAGAAATTTCACCAACAGGTAGAAGAGATATTTCTCAAAACTCTTTGAGTTCAGTGACTTTTAAGTGAAGTGGTAAATGGTGTTAATTTTGGAATCCCAGAAATTGATGTTTTTTCTATTTGAATCTTTACAGGTCTTGAGGGTGGTTTTATTGAATTTTTATTGAATGTTTTTATTAAGTATGGAAACTTGATCTTTCAAAGTGGTCAGAAAATTCCTAATGGAAAAAAAAATACAGTGGTTTATACTTTTTTTCCCCTTAAGCTGTCCCTTGCCTTATTGCAGGCATCTTGGAAAGCATATGAAAAGATAGCAATGAGCCTAACCTCTAACAAACTGTCATGCAAAAGCTTTTGCCAAAGGTAGTGGGGCTATGGGAAAAAAAAAATGTGGAATAATGCTGTCAGGAGTCTGAAATTTCTTGTTAGAAAGCAGTGTTTTATTAGAAGGGCACTCTGTGTCCTACCTGTTTTTCCAGACAGACTTTCCAAGACAGGTGTTTTGTTGGCCCAACTCTAACCCCAAAAACTTCTCAACAGAAGTTTCTAAACCACTGAATAAACATTCTGCTAGCGCTTTCCTGTCTCAGTTAAGGGATTTGTGCTAGTACGGGAGGCAATAATTATCTGTGTGTTGAGGATAAATGTTTTCATTTTCTTTAGTAGCAAGTTAATCTTTGTTCCTTTCTCTGCTAATCAAATACCTCAGTGTTCCTTTCTGCTGCTTTTTAGGTGTCTTAAGATCTTATGACTCCAGTAGTCGACTAAGCAAGAGAATGAAATTTCTGAAAAACCTGCCAGCAAATGCTTTTCAGTACAATTTTAGGAGTATGTACCAGAATTAGGTGCTGGTTTTATATTCTTAATCATTTCATAGCTATTCAAGGTAAAAGAGATTTTCTGAACCATAATGTAAGAGAATTCCCATTAGATAAGCTTCAGGTTTTAGTTAGGTTTTATGCATTTCATAGTTTGTTACTGTAGTCATGCCTGACTAATCACCCTAGTCCTTAAGGAAACCGGTTGTACTCACAACTGCTATGGAAAATTAAAGCCCCATGCTTTTCATTCATGGAAACAAGTCTCCACAGTGTCAAGATACCATCGCTGCAGTAATGTGCGTATTAAATAACCTGTACTCACATTGTGTTTATAGATAATTGCATAAGAAAATACTAAAAGAACATATTTAAAGTTGCAGAGGTCAAGCACTTGAAATGCAGGGAAAGGAAGAAACAATCTTGTCTACACTGCACTAATTGCTTTCTTTCTGATTTGTAGTTTGAAATTAAGGCTCTGAGAGTGCAAGGCATAAGCTACTTTTGAATAACTAGGTTCAGACCCATAAGGTTTTGATGTTTCGGTACATTGAAACATCATATAGCATTTGAGGTGTAGCTGCTGTTGCAGCTGAGGTTGTTTAACATTCCAGCAAACAGTATCAAAGACCTGTGAGGCAAAGAACATACAAGAGTTAGTGTAATGTTTCTGCAGTTCTCTAGAGACATGTCTAGATCATAGATGAAGTCTGAGATAATTGTAGAGATTGAATTCTTCAGTGGTATTAAATGTGAGACTGTCCTCCAAGTTGTTGCAATCCCATACTATTAGCTTATCAAGAAAGTATGTGTTTCTAACTCCTCAACAGATGAAGTGAGGATTCTGTAGATGATCTCTCTGGTATGGACTGTTATGTTCCAGAACTTCTCCTTCCACTATGCTGCAAAAGCAAAGGTCTGGCACAGAGAAGGGATAAAAAACCTGTGATGAAAGATAAAATATTGAATCTTTCCCTGATGCAGAATGGTACACTTTTGGTACTCTGGCCTGGCACATGCGTATGTGCTCTGTTTGCAGTGGTTCTTGTACAATAAATAACATTGTAAGAACTGTGAAGATCTGATCTGTGCTATTAAGGGATGGTATACAGACCTGGTTGTCACAGGGAGCTTCAGGAAGAACTTTGGCAAATTGGAGAGTGGCTTGGTTGTTAAGTAGTCATAGAAGTAGATGTGTTTCTGTTAAGCTTGTATGAACCATGAATTTCTACAGAGTTTGTATATTGGCCAAATCTGGGTGGCTTTTGTTTGAGGATGATGGAGGATGTGTCCCAGATAGCTTAACTGCCCCTATTAAATTTCAAATCATTGCTCAACAAAGTTGAGCCTTAAGAGAGGGTTGCCAACATGATTTTGACCTTGAATGATCTATTTTTCTGTAGCTTTGTTTTAGGACATAGCTGTGCAGCTCCAGTAGAAACCTTGCAGTTCTAGGCAGGTGGTACTAGAGGTGGCAGAAATATCCATGACAAAGCTATATTCAGCGCTTAATTTCAGCAAAGTTGCGAGATTTTGAAAATATGTTGGTGGGAAATACCAGGTAATCTTGATAGATGGTAATTTAAGTTTCCATATAATGCCCCTGGTGTTTGTGGAAATTCTTCTCTGGAAAGAATGTGAAGAAACAACCTATTGGAATTTTTTTTTTTTTAACTTTATAGTTTTAAAAGGGGGTGATGATTGCACAAGGTAATACAGGGTCCATTTTGCTTGTTTTGTTCTCAGTAGCACAAACAAAAGGGTAAAACAGTGTAACCAACCCCACTGCCCTGATCCTTGCCCACAGAAGAAAAAAAATTTTTAAAAGTGTGTTATGAAAATAAGTTCTCATTTGTACCTGTTCCTTCATTACTACAGAGCCTGTCTCCTAACTGTGCAAAGTCTTTCTGGTGTCATTCATAATCAATAAAGTGGTAACAAGAAATGCTGTGAATGTTTAGAAATCCTAATGGTGGTGATTCCGGCTGTTTTCTTACTTTTTAGCCTGTAGCTAAAATGTTTGTCCACAACTCTGTCAAATTTCCTATAAGGAAAGCTGTTCTGTGAGCAAGGAATTTTTTTTCTTTTAAATGATGCAAGCAACTCCATGCAGTATGATTTAAGATATTTTATTTTCCTGGAAGGGATAGATAGACTTTTAGGTAACTTTTTCCTAGTCTTTTTACCAAACAAGGTTCAAGTATGTATTTTTTGGCAATGAATTTTCAGCAGGGCTTTGTCTTACACTGGAGAGTCTCCTGTGGTACTCATTGTAATATGTGGAGGGAGGGATTTTCAGTGTTGGCCTTAGGCATTCTAAGTGAAGACACTGGTTTTAACCGCTGGCTTCATTGTGGATAAATTAATACGAAGCAGCTTATAAAATCTAATAATTTATTTGTGATGAGTGATTTATAGTGCCTGAAATAACTTGTCAATTTATCTGGTTGAAATTTTATTCTGTCATATGACTATCCTAGTTTAGCAAACTTTTTTACTTTGTAAGAAAAGCTGCTTATGATTTGTTTTTCAGGTCATAAAAGTTAAGGTTTGGGAAGGTATCCTTACCCTTCACCTAGTTGGAGACTATTTCAAAGATGAGCTTAGAGAGCAACTGTAAAATTAAAAAGGATAACTGAAGGAATTGTATAAAACAGTGTTGCTAGATTAGTGGGAACTACTGAGAATGAAAAGGAGAAGGAATTTTTCTGAACTGTAAAGAATGAGAGTAACAGAAAACCCAAAGAACCCATAGCTATTAGTGTGGGCTTATAGGTGACAAGTTCAACAGTAAATTGAACGAAGATGATGTAATCAAGTATATTAGTGATATGTTTAGCACAGTACACAGAGATCTTTGAAATATTGGAACTGATTCAATTTTTTTTATACTGACTCTGTATTCAAATGCATACCACTGTTAGTAAATACACTGCGTCTTTTGTAGACGGTGGACATTCACAAAGAGAAAGTTGCTAGAAGAGAAATTGGTATCTTGACTACAAACAAAAACACCTCAAGAACTCACAAAATCATTGCACCAGCTAACTTGGAGCGACCAGTTCGCTACATCAGGAAACCTATTGATTATACAATTCTAGATGATATTGGACATGGAGTGAAGGTAGGTGATATTGTTAAAACAGACAAACTGCAAATACCTTGTCTTTGTATATTTTCAAAATAACCTGATGCTTTTCATGGTAATATACCAGTTTCTCCTTGCCTCGCCAGTGTTTCTATAAACATAAGAGGAGTCCTGTCCGATTTGCAGTTGCTCCTTCCCATTTCCTTGCCCCAGTGTTTCTGAACCTTGCAAACCCACTGAATCTTCTATCTGAGGGTATTCAGGACTGTGGGTCTCAATTTTAAAATGCTTCTGAATACCTACTTGTGTGATCCTGCTATTATTGTTTGAATCAGTTGCCAGGGATGTACCTGGGGACTGAAAGGCTAATGACTGTTGCTTTTCTGACTGAATTAGCACCACAAAGTATGATCCAGCTGTAATTGCCACTGGTTGACTTTGAAGCTCACCTGAAGAAAGGGTTCGCATAAGCAGTATTACTTGTTCCCTTTTCTTCTTTCTGCCAGAGTAATTTATACCTATGTCCAGTGATGTGCCTTGTTAAAGTGAGCTATCTGCAACTTTTGTGCCATACGGGGTTTCAGGTAGGGAATGTTGCTGCCATGTTCAGAGCCAGCTGGTTCTTCCTTTGAGACTAGGAAAAAGGAGGAATTTCAGGGCAAAGATCAGACTGAGACACAACTGGTGGCTGTTGTATGCAAGTGGTAGATCAGTGTACACAACAGCAGTAATATCGTGTGTGAGATTAGATATGCATTTTTAAAAGCACATTCTGAATGTAAATACAGTCTTAGCAGTTGTGAGCTCATTGTTAACTTGTGCTGCAAGGAAGACAAATACGGAAATGAGAACACTGACAGTCTTAAAGTTCCAGGAGAAGAAAGGTAAATAACAGAAAGCGGTATCATTTTTATGTGGCAAACTAACAAATCTGTAAACCTGCTAAGTAGCAGTAAGGTAAGATGCTTCTTCCAGTCAAAGTACACCAGAACTTCTTTTGTTTGATAGCTGGCTGCATTGGGTTATGTATGCTGTTCAATTTGAACTGTCTGCTTGGATAGCCATTTAAATGGCAATAGGTTGTTTAACCAAACTCTTAAAATTCAAATTCTAAACAATCCGATTTAAATATCTTTCCCAAGCAGTTTTACTCAAGATCTTCTCAACATCCTGTTCATTAACAAGAAGTCTTTTTTCCCCATTTCTTATGGAAAGAGTCAACCTCAGTTTGTAGCTCTAAACAGATTCTAAAAAGACAAATGACTCTTTAAGCTTGAGTTGGAAATCAAAATGAAACCAAACAAAAACAAAATAAAACCCCCCCAGCATTAATAGCTACAGTTTTGACCAGGAAATTATTCAGTCTCCTGTTAAAATCTACTACCAATTCTTAAAACTTTGAATTTATGTAGGTCAGCAGAACTCCTTCTACATATGGATGGAGCATATTAACCTGTAGGATTACTGTTGCTAATATTTTAATGATCACTTTTGTTTTAAGGAGGCTATTTTAGAACTCATTAAAGAATAGTTTTCAGCTGCTCTGCAGCACAATCTTATTTAGCATTGGCTCTAAGCCATTACAATTGGTATCCCACTTACCTCAATGTAGCAGAATCATACTCACTGTGAAGCAGTGAATTAAGTTCTTCTGAAAGAACATAGTTCATCAAATGGATGTTGACTCAAATGTATATTTGCATCCATTTGTTATGCTTGTGATGTGCTTGAAACATGTTACAAATTATATTTACAATGTACTGTATTTATCTAGAAAATTAAAATATATTGTGTACTTGTGAAACAATAAGAAGAGAACTTGAAATCATGCTGTCCTTAAGATCCATAGATGTGTTCCAGTCAGGTTAATCCTGTGTTCAGTACAGAAGAGCCACTCTCTTGCTGATGCAGAGAAAGTGGCCGGTTGTGTTTATGAACCTGTTGTTTTTGTTTTGGTTAAGTAACTACAGATTAGTTTACTAGATGTCCACCTGGAGAATAAAGCGAAAAAAAAAAAAAAGAGTAGGAGCTTTAAATTTGCCTATTTATAGACCTTTATTGCTTGAGCTTGAGTGTTTTTCCCTTCAAATGAGTATTCAGGAGGAGTTATTGCATAAATAGCATTAAAGTTCCAGTTAGCATCAGTGTGCTTCAGACTGCATTCTTTGTCCTCTTTCTGTTTTTTTCTGCTGTAGGGCTTTCCCTCTAGTACTTGGACCCAGAATTATGCATTGTCAGGACAGTCAAAGAGCTAATGCAGCAGGTATTCACTTCAACCCTTGAGAAAGATGGCAAACTGGACAGAGAATAATACAGGAGAAAAAGGGAGCATCCTTGTCCAAGAAATCCAGTATGCCATCTTGAGAGAAGTAGTATAGGCACTTGAGCACCTATTCCTTCGATTCAGAAATTTGAAACATCAGTGGATACCATGTTCAGGAAGAGATCCTCTACCATGTTGTTTCTTAATAGGTGAGAGAGAATTTAAGTGCCATATTATTATTCCAGCAGTACCTCGTCATCTTCCCTTTCTGAATCTATACTACCACAAAAATCTAAAGAACCTTTTGTATGAAAGTGACTTGCTTTCACTTTTTTCAAATGTTTTCTGAGTTAAAGTCTTCAATCTCTTCATCCCTTCAAAGAGTTCTTGAGTCAAGAGGATAGAAAAAAGAAATTTTGATCCATTCAAAGTGGCGTGTATTAAGTCACTAATTGTCAGGCAGTGCTGCTGAGGAAAAGGTCTCTGCTTATGGATCCTCTAATGTAACCAGCCACTCTGGCCAGTACAGGGGGACTTAGTTTTCCAGTGTAGCTGTATGAAGCAGAAACTGTTTTGGTTAATAGATCCGTGGAACTTTAAGCACAAAGATAGGAGATTTTGTAGTAAATAAGATTATGTTTCTTTCTTAATGCATTAGGGTCTCTTTATGATGTAAATAGTTGAAGCAGAGTAGTCACTCTGGATGCTCCACTGTTGAGATTCTGCATATTTAATGTTCAGTGTTAACAAAAAGTGTAAGAAATGTAATGAAAAGTTTAGATTGGCTAAACTGAAAACAGATCAAATTATATTCAAATGGAAAGACTAATATTTTTGAAAAAAATTATTATAGGGAA